TTGGTGTACAAATGAATTTAAATTGAATGCAAAAAAATAATATTTTATGCACTTAAATTTCTTCAGTTAATAACATGCATGCATTGAGAGCACATATGCTATGATCCAAGGTCTTGATATCCCGAGCGTTGCCCTTCTTTGTGAAGCTGATGTGATTGGTAAGAACTAATTGATCCATTACCGAAAGTGTGTGTACTGTTGATTTGTAGGTATACGAATACTAATACTCAACTGATTTTTAGAAAATTGTATTAAAACATTGTCCATATTTTTATACTGCTTATGTTTGTTTTATAGGGTCTTCGTATTGGCCATAACCTAGCCTTACCCATTGCTTTATTTAATATTCGAGAGGTAATACTTTACTTTTTTTTAACAGGGTGTTGCTGCCGCACTTGCTATTTACTTTGCAACACAAAAGGGTCATTATATTATAGCATACTACATTATATTTGTGTATTTGTAAATAGGCGAAACGTAGACAATAGCAACATACTTTACTGTATCTACCAATTAGAACAATGTACTATACTTCCACACAAAAACGACACCTTCCGACCCCCGCAACGCGAGGGTCACCTTTCTAGTTATTATTATTATTATTATTGCAAAATAAGTCATTTTTGTGTTCTGATCTCGACTACTTGGTTGCTTAGGTCATGTGTTCTAAACGTCATAATTCTTCATACGATCTCGGATTTTAACGATCTTTATATCAATGCGAACGATCTTTATATCAATGCGTTCGTATTTTAGTCTACTACAACTTTTATTTAGATTACTCCCATTAAAAAATAATATATTTTTACTTACGGTTTTTATATCCATATGCAGGGGCGGATTTAGCCTAGTCCCGATGTTGCACCGGCAACAACTGTTTTTTTTTCCGCAGTGGAAAATTTTATGATTTTTTTTCGTTTATAGCTATTTTTCATGTATCAGCAACACCTATTTCATCTCGACAACACTTACTATGTATTCTTGCGTCTGCCCATGTCTATACGTTTTTATGAATGCATGTATGGATGTTTTTAAAAAAAATCATAAATAAAAATATATTACATTTTAACGGGAGTAACTTAATGAAAAAATGAACACGTGGATATAAAGATCGTTAAGAAGTTATGACGTTGAGAATACAAGACCTAAGCCAAACCACAAGACCTACGCAACCAAGTAGTCGAGATCATGTTGGACATAAACATCAACAACCCCAAACAACTCATCAATGATTGTTCCACGTAAGATGTCGTGAGAAAAACCTAAATAAATCATTTATAAGTACTGAGTGAGTACAAAAAAAGGACTTATTTGAAACAAAAAAATGTTAATGACTAAATATGTACAAAAATATTAAGGACTAAATGTGTACAAAATGAAAAATATATTACCCTATTAAGTCATTTTTCTCGGCTAACCTGAATTAAACGGTCATAAGGACTGAGTGTGTACAGTTTAACAAGTTAAGGGGGTAAATGAGGACGAAAAAAAACTCAGTGACCAAATGTGTACAAATCGAAAAATACATTACCCTTTTAAGTCATTATCCCTTAAAAAAAGTTAAAATTGACAATTTTAAGTTTTTAACTCTTTTACATACAAAAAAAAAATATTAAATTATTTTTAACCATTTTAAAAAGTCATTTTTCTTCATATATGCAGTTTTAATATAAGTGTAAAAAAAATCTGCAATGGTACGATTCTAATCTCCCTTTCTTGTTTCTAATCTCCCTTTCTTGTTACTGTATGTACTACGGTTTACAAATTTAAGATTCATATCCTAAACATTATTATACAGTACTACATAAATTGAATTATCAAAGTGGTCGATATAATTAATTAGGTGATGAAAATATAATCATGTACTTACATCATAATAAATCATCATTAGCACTTTCGAGTATGTATATTAATTTTGTTAATTGTAATATATAAAGGAACAAGGAGGGAAGGGGAGATGAGAACCTTGTTATTGGTTGGGTAGTCAATATACCACACATGTATCGAATACACAACCTAAAATATCTTAAGACTCAATTAATTTACTTTTTGTTCTTCAGCAAACATATATCCTATTCTTTTACATAAACATTATTAGTAGAAGATACGATATGTATAAATTGATCATGGATTGTAATAGGTCACTAGAACTAGATAACCATAGAAAAAGTTTTTTTTATACTATAAAATATTTAATGGTTTATACTAGATCAAAATTGGACAATGAAGAAAAAAAAATTAATGGATAATAAAAAAATTCATTATTTAATTAGAATTGTAAAAACTAGTTAAATCAATAAAATAATGAATTGAGATAATGTTGCAAGATAACAAGGAATAGAGTAAATTACACGAATGGTCCCTATGGTTTGGAGTAATTTGCACGTTTGGTCCCTAACTTATTTTTTTAACTCGGAATGTCCCTACTGTTTGTTTTTGTTACGTGTTTGGTCCCTATTGTTTGTTTTTGGTACGCGCTTGGTCCCTATATTACCTAAAAAGACTATTACTTAAATAGAGAAAAATAATAGGGTAGGTAAGGTAAGATGAGGGTGTGGGGTTAGGGGTGTGTTTATTTAAATAAATTAAAAAATCAAGGGCAAAATAGTCTTTTTTAGGTACGACAGGGACCAAGTGCGTAACAAAAACAAACAGCAGAGACCTTCCGAGTTAAAAAAATAAGTTAGGGACCAAACGCACAAATTATCCTAAACCATAGGGACCATTCATGTAATTTACTCTAAGGAATACAATATCTAGTTTCATGCTTTTTTTAAAGCTACATAATTAATAAATACAATGATCATATACTATATACATTTCTATTTTTTATGGTGATCAATGGTCGTATCAATTTTGTATAACTATATTTTACAATCTAACATCATTTTTGCATATATGTCATATTTTTACAATTGTTTCCTTATTCTAGACGAAGAGATTGATAACATGTATTTGAAGGTATTTTCTTTTGGAAGCAATAACATTGCAAGAAGATGCTTTATGATTTAAATGGAGGAAACCGCGGGAAAGCAACGTTTGTGAATCGATCGAATGGTTTATCGGAATGCTCCCCAGCAGCACCTGTCTCTCTACCAAATACTCCTCCTCGCCGGCCGCCGGATCAAACCCTTGCAACAAGTTCACGCCCAAATCATCCTATCCGGCAAAACCAGCTCTCTTCCGGTTCTCACCAAACTCATCACGTCGGCCTGCGCAGCGGAGGCAATCCTCTACACCCGCCAACTCCTCTTCTCCATCGCCAACCCTGATTCGTTCCTCTTCAGTTCCCTTATTAAAACCTCCACCAAGCACAATTTTCCTGTTGATTCCCTTATCTTTTATCGACACATGTTACTTTGTAATGCAGAGTGGTCAAACCACGCATTCACGGCTGTCATAAAAGCATGCGCTAATTTGTCAGCTCTTGGACTTGGCAGGATTATTCATTGTCATGTGATAGTTAGTGGGTTTGGACTGGATTTGTTCGTTCAGGCTGCTTTGGTTAGTTTTTATTCCAAATGCAATGAGTTGGGTGTCGCCCAAAAAGTGTTTGATGAAATGCCCCAAAGAACTTTGGTTGCCTGGAACTCCATGATATCTGGGTATGAGCAAAATGGACTTGCTGACAAAGCTATCACCTTGTTTTACAAGATGCGGGATTCAGGTGTTGAGTTTGATTTAGTAACTCTGGTGAGTGTGTTATCTGCATGTTCTCAGCTAGGGGATCTCAGTTTGGGATGCTGGATTCATGAGTACATCAGTTCTAATTTACATGTAAACACTACAATAGCCACCTCATTGATCAACATGTATGGTAGATGTGGAGATGTAATCAAAGCAAGAGAAGTATTCAACTCCTTGAATCAACAAAATGTTGTAACTTGGACATCAATGATATCCACCTATGGAATGAACGGATATGGCAAGAAAGCAATGGAAATCTTTGATCTTATGAAACTCCACGGCCCACCTCCCAATTCTATCACATTCATTGCTGTTCTATCAGCATGTGCCCATGGTGGACTAGTATCTGAAGGTCAACTAGCTTACACTAGCATGATTCAAGATTACAAATTAGTCCCTAAAATGGAGCATCATGTTTCCATGGTTGATATGCTTGGACGTGCAGGACTACTAAACAAAGCATATCAACATATTCAAGATATGAATCATCTCAAGCCTGGAGCAGCTATATGGACAGCCATGTTAGGAGCTTGCAAGATGCATAAAAACGTCAATCTTGGTGTAATAGCAGCTGAGAATCTTTTAGCTATTGAACCTCAGCATCCTGGCCATTATGTTTTACTTTCAAATATATACGCAATGGCTGGGCAAATGGACCGAGTAGAAATGATTAGAAATGTGATGATTCAAAAGGGATTAAAGAAACAAGTTGGATATGCCACAATAGAAGTTGATCACAGAACATATCTGTTTACTATGGGTGACAAATCCCACCCTGAAACAGTTGCAATTTACAGGTATTTAGATGAGTTGATGGAGAGGTGTAGGGAGGTAGGTTATACACCAGCATCTGAATCTGTAATGCATGAGTTAGAAGAGGAGGAGAGAGTGTATGCTCTTAGATATCATAGTGAGAAGATTGCATTAGCATTTGGGCTGTTGAAAACAGGACATGGATCGATTATAAGAATCGGGAAGAATCTTAGGGTTTGTGAAGATTGTCACATAGCTATCAAGTTTATTTCTGTTGTGACCAAAAGAAAGATTATTGTTCGTGATAAGCTTCGGTTTCATCATTTTGAAAATGGTATTTGCTCCTGTTTGGATTACTGGTGATGGGTTCTATCAAACACCTCAACATGGAGTGTTAACAGTTATTGTTATAAAAATAGTGTAATATTTTCTACACCAAAAAGAATATTCATCATTCAAGAATCAAGATTTTGCTTTTCTTCCACATATCTAAAAAAGAGCAAAATTGCACAAGTTGGAAATAGTCTTATTTAACTTAAAAATACAACAATTTATTGAGTGGGAAAAACAACCAGCTTTCCCACTTCAATCACAAAACTAACAAATTCTAATAACTAAAGAACATTCAAAGAAAGATAAAGTGTTGTAAAACTGTCTTCAAGCAATTGCAAATTTGCAATAGTTACCCACCTTCCACCTAGTAGATTTCATCATCAGGTATCTCGGGGTTCAAGAATTTTGCAGGATCTTTGCTAATTGCATCATAACTGAGTGTAGGTTTAACTCGATCAGGGACAGGTTCAAGTGGGATAATGCTATCTTCATCAATAACCCCATCAATTATTCCATATTCAACTGCTTCAATTGGAGACATGTATCGATCCCTATCAATGTCTTTCTGAACTTGTTCATAAGATCTCCCAGTGGACTCTGCTATGATTCTTGTCACATTATCTTTGTTATGCATCATTTCCCGAGCTTGAATTTCAACATCTATTGCTTGCCCACTAGCACCTCCAAGCGGTTGATGAATCATAATTCTTGTATTGGGCATTGCAAGTCGCTTACCTTTAGTTCCACCACCAAGAACTATGGAAGCTGTTGATGCTGATATGCCCAGTGCAATTGTTGACACATCAGCCCTCACTAGCTTCAACACATCATAAATCGCCATAGATGCACTGTTTCAAAACAACCATGTTGGCCATGCGTAATTTGAACATACGAATCAATCCACAAGTTTGAAAATTGATATGATATACAAACATTGGAACCTAACCTTGGTGTATAAAATCAGAAATTTTGATATCAAAAGGATTAATATTAGGCTTCAAATAGAAATAAAAAGGATGTAAACGGAGTACCTGAGGGAACCTCCGGTAGAATTGATGAAAAGCCTGATATCTTTAGAAGGGTCTTGAGCATCTAACAAAAGGAGCTGACTAATTATAGCATCGGCGACGAAATCATCAATTTGAGTCCCTAAGAACACAATCCTTTCTCTTAATAAGAGCCCCATCGCGTCCGCTTCGGCGCCTCTCATCGCCGTCTCCGGAGACTGTGGCGAAGAAGCTGAAAAACCGAGCGCTGGTTTGAAGTCAAATCCTAGGGTTTGGGGAGAGGACCCAATTGAACATTTGACGGATTTTTGCGGTAGTACTAGACGGCGGAGAGAAAGGGGTTGAGAGGGTTTTGTGGGAATAAACTGGCGGAGATTGGAAAAGGATGAAGAAGGGGGGTAGCAAGGCGAGGGAGTCGAGAAGGAGAGCAACTCCATTGTAGATAATGGCGATGTTCTTTGCTTCTTCCCTTTGAAGAGTTAAGTTAGCGAGCGGTATGAAAACACAAGGACTGTAGCTTGTTGTTGTAGGATTTCTATTTTTCTCCTAAAATAAAATCAAAATGAGGAGAAAAATGTAAACCTCAATTAATAACCATCATTATTTTTTTGTTTTAATAATTATAAACTAGATATAACCCGGGAACGCATAAAAACATACAAATGTCTTAAGATATCGCATAATAATTAAAAAAGAAATTAGTTATTGGTATTATTCAAATGTGTAGAAAAGATACATTGAAATCGATAAATATCTATAATTGTTTAAGGACCTCTTTGTATACAACATTTTTTTATTTTATTAGTTGAATTACTCTTTCTCATCACATATGGTTATGATATTGTTATATAAACATAAGTATTCTAATTAGACGTTTTTCCATAATAAGGTTACTTAATTTAAGTCTATATTGACAACCAATATACAGTTTTTTTCATTGCATTAAATATTGACAACTATTTCATTTATTCAAATAAAGTCATAGAGTATAATTTATGGAATGTTAAATGTTATATGGATTTAATTTTAGTATATCATCAATGAAAATTCTTTTCTAAATCATGATTGGTTTATTTTAAATTTATTATGAATATAAGTGTTAGTTTTTATGTTTGTTCTTATTTATTTGGTGTTTGCAAGAACTTTGCATTAGTCTTCGCACAACTTTGAATAATTTTAGTATATCATCAATGTAATTTGGTATATCTTTCAATTATATAAAATATCAAATAATGACATTTCATTACTATTGTGATAATTTAGTTTATATATTACATTTTTACTAATCTTAACGATCTTATTTTTTTCTAACAATCGTAACGTTTTTACTAATTGTACTTACAAATCTCCTAATATTTATAATGTTTATCTTACTTTATAATTTTTCATAACTATACTATTTTCAAGATTGACTATCTTAATAGTTTTTTTTCTTTTTCAGTCTATTCAAATTTATATTTCATTGTACAACATCATCGTTTGTATGTATTCTAAAATTTCATTTTAAAAATGCTTAATGTTTACATCTTGATATTTTTTAATAAACTCGTGTAATAATTATGGAATATATATCTTGTTTGAATTAACATTTACTTCTTTCACTAAATTAAATTCCTCATTAAACGAGTATATTTTGGAAAGTAATAATTATAATGGGGCAACATTATCTAAGACATAAATGCTTGATATACTTTTGGAGGGAAAAAATCGAGATCGTTAAAAAAATTTATATAAAGAAAATACAAATTTAAATTGGGTGAAATTATGGATGAAAATACTGGCGAAAATTATTTTGGAGGGAATTGTATTTTGTAAACTATAATACTATGACAAATTCGAAATATGTATATTGTTGTATAAATTTATAAATTTTATTGTTTCTATATAAAGATAAAACAAAGTAGGTTGGTATGTTAAACAAAAAAAAATAATTTCAATGAACGTATGTAACTAAAAAAAATGGAATTTGAAGATCAAAATTTAAAACTTAAAAGTATGAAGACATGTGATAAAAAAAATGTGTGAAAGAGCTCTAACCATATTTGACCAATTTGTTAGTGAGAAGATCATAAATGGACCCTCTGATAATTATCAACAAATTATTTACTATATGACAAAATGTGAATTCTATAATTAGTGGATTCGAAATGTTTTAATGCTAAAATAAACATGTATATCGAAGTGTAGATCAACATGTCATTTTAATGCAAATGACATGTTTTATGGAATCATGTAGAAAAATACTTTAGAAAATAAAATGTTTTAAACACATATACTTAACTTAGATCCTGATCAACCAGGTTCATCAACTGTTTCTCCCTTGAATTTTCAATAATCACTTTCATGGTATTAGTCGACACAACATGACCAAGAAAATCAGGAACAAAAAAAATAAACGGTTGTCGTATTATAGATGTGTAATACAATAAATATTTACGTGTAGATAAGGTAGAATGTAAAAATAAAATCTTACCAAATGCAACACGAGTGTCGATATTTCTGGCTATCAAATCCTCGAAGTCACAAAATTATAAGGATCCACCATAACAACAAAATCATTTGATACACGAAATTTGGTTGTTTTGTAGAAATTATTTTTATGCTTATGATCAACCAGCATGTAATCTCCTTCATTTCTGGCCATACCAAAACTATTAATTTCTCTTACAGATCCTTCAACAAAGAGGGATTCAAACGAACTAATGAGATTTTTTTATTGTTGCTTGTATTTTAGTGTCATGTAAGTGGAAAAAAAATTGGTTACGTTTAAAATTTTATAAGTTAAAAGCAACATAATAATAAAAAGAAAAAATTGTACCTACTCGTCAATTAAAATCATGTCGAAGTTGCTGAACATGTTTGGGTTGTTTTTTAAGTTTGCTTCCAAAGCAAGAGTACTTGAACACGAATGTTTCAGGTTTCCTTGGATGCATCGATGTCAGCAACCTTATAAAAGATGATCTCATCGCGATTGTTTTGTGTCATGGGTGTAAAATGAAAGAGAAAACAATTAGAATTAAAAAGAACTTTTATATGAAATAAAAGTGACGTATACAATGTATTTATCTATAAAGAGGTATGATTTATAAAGAGGTATGAAAGCTATTATAGTTGTCAACAAAATTGTTTCCATACTTAATTTCAAAGAATGCATAAATAGATTATATATTATTTCCTATTAAATCAACTTAAAAGTGTAATAGAATCATACCAAAATATTTTAAAATAATACCAAAATTAACCGGATTCTTATGACATAATAATTAAAAAAAATCATAATCATCTCTAATATATAAAAATAACATTTTCCTAACTAGTGTCAATTCCAAAGATAGTTAATTTTTGTTAAAGATACGTAATATATTTTCCTGTTTATTTAAAAAGATCCAGAAAAGTAGATAATCGATTTCATGTGATTTGTGACAAAGAAAATCGAAATATATGAATACATATATTTGATATAAGAACAAAAAATAATCGAAAAGAATATAAAAAGCGAAAGAAGGTACTGGCCTTCTACTGCACAACAACGAAGGTTTGAAGTAGAGAATGATTATGGAAGTTATAAACAATAAGAATGATATTGTAGGAGAATGTTTGAAGAAAAGCAATGATTGAAAATAAGTGTGAGTCGCGGATTCAAAGATGAATCGTTGTAACATCCCCAAACTCACGGCCAGAAAAGACCGGTTTCATTTATGCTTTTAAAATAATTTTCAGAGTAATCCTTTGATTAAAAGAGTTGCGGAGTTTGTCCCCAAAACAATACATGATAAAATAAGGTTTATCAAAGCATTTCTTAAAGAAATGTATTTTCATATATAATCAAAACTCGGGATGTCATGTTCCGATA